TTTTTTAAGGGCCTTTTAAAACCCAAAAAACTCACCTTTTTTTTTTTAATTGTTAACCCTTGGCCTACAAAAAAAAAAAACTTTTTTTTTTCACAAATTAAAATCAGAGAGGCATTCAGACAGGCAATGATAGGTACTTTTTCTCGAACCTATATAAAAAGACCACAGACAACGTATATGAATTTTATAGACAAAGCTTTTGCAAAAGGAGAACTCTCCATCAACAACCTCTCCAGGCCGTTCACAGAGAGTTCTGATCTCCTTCCACGCGAGCCCCTGTTTTATTGTCAAAGCAGAACAGCCAGAAAAAAACAACAGAGGTCGTAAAACATTTAACCTAAACAAACCAGCAACTCAGTTCCAGGTGTGATATCTGATCTACGATCTGAGCCCAGTTCAGCTCTAGGTCAAACTGTCAACAAAGAGGGAGGATAAACAAGAGACAAAATACGACTGCTCACAGGCAGTTAGGAGGTATTCTGGTTGATAAGAATTAAGGTCTGGGAAACACAGAGTTATACACACATAAGGAAGAAAACACTTTAAACTAAAAATCACAATAATACTGATTAACATTAGACTGAATATGTACTAAAGTAATAACAAAATGATAATACCAAAAGTCAGTCGTAACCTCCAGGTCAGTTTATACACACATAAGGAAGAAAACACTTTAAACTAAAAATCACAATAACATTAGACTGAAAGTAATAACAAAATGATAATACCAAAAATCTCTATCAGGCAACCTGCAGAGGTTGCAGCTATCCACTGCTCAGGTGTAGTAATATGTCAACAGGACAAGTCGTACACTACAAGTCTGGCTTTTAGAGAAAAGTGGCAAGGAGAAAGTCACTGTGGAAAAAAGCCATAAAATAGGTTTATTTCTAGTTTTCCATAAATAGAGGAGGCCAGTATGTGGAATAAAGACCTAATCTGAATTTTGGTCAGATAAGACCAAAATTAAACTTTTTGCCTTCTTGTAAAATGTTAATAATACTGCACAGATCCCACAGTGAAACATGGCAGTGGCAGCTTCATACTGTGGTAAACACAGAACAAGTGGTAAAATGGATTAATCTAAATAGAGGACAATTCAGAAAGAAAAAACTATAAGAGGCTGCAAAATACTTCAGAATGGGCCAAAGGTTCATCTTTAAGCTGGAAAAATGTGCAGCCAGAGCTATTATGGGTTTAGCCCTGAAATAGAATGGACCAATCAAAGCCCACATTGAATCAAGTTCACATCTTCGGCAAGAGTTTAATGTTGATGTTCACAAAGTCTCCATTCAATCTGATTGATCTTGAGGTATTTTAAAAAGAAATAATTTACAAGAAATCATTATGTGCAAAACTGGTAGAGACAAACCATAGAAAAAGTAGTTTTATTCATGGCAGCTTTTAAAAAAGCAGGATATCTTTTTTTAAAGTCTTTTTTGTAAAAATGTTGAAATCTATGTATAATTTTCTCATCATTTCATGTGAAATCCAGACAGAATGGTTGAAATTTGACAAAATGTGAACAACCTTTGCTAGACACCATATATTAATGCCCGCCTGCTGCCTTTTACCTGCTTCCTGTGTTGTAAATGCCAGGACATTGCTGGCATCCAAGGGCGTAGGTTCGGTCTAAGTTTTGGTG